AATTTCTTGTGGCGTCACCTTTCTCCATTGTCAGCCTCAAGCATCTACTGTCCTTGTCTGGATTAAACTCTTCTCACAGCATTTTAAGCTATTCCTACCCCGGTTCTGCAAACTTTTTTTAAAAAATATTTTTTATTTAAATTAGAAACAATCTTATTTTACATATCAATCCCTGTTCCCCTCCCTCTCATCCTCCCCCACTGACACCCCCCCAACCCCTCATTCACTCCTCAGGGAGGGTGAGACCTCCCATGGGGGATTATTAAAGTCTGTCTCATCATTTGGGGCTGGGCCCAGGCCCTCCCCCATGTATGCAAACTCTTTCAAACTGTGACAGAATGTATGTATGACCTAGCAGTTTGTGTAGAAGAAATGTATTTCGTTCAGTTTGATGTCTTAATCTGTCACGGTCAGGAGAGCATGGTTTGGTAGTGCACAGCATGGACAGGAAGCAGAGCGGAATGACCAGAAGGGAGGTCCAGCGTGGAAGGGAGATTTTGAATCACGTAAAACTCTTCTTCTTGGTTGCCTACTTGTTCTGGCTAGTTCTTCCCTTACTGTGATGAATAGAAGTGGTTTTTTTTTCCCCAGTGTGTATGTCTGTGTGAGGGTGTTGGATCCTCTGGAACTGGAGTTACAGACAGTTGGGAGCCACAATGTAGGTGCTGGGAATTGGACCCAGGTCCTCTGGAAGAACAGTCAGTGCTCTTAACTGCTGAACCATCTCTCCAGCCCCCCCCCCCTTCAATATATAAATACTGGGTCTTATAGAGCTCAGGCTGATCTCAAATCTTTGTTTTTAAATTTCATTTATATGCTTGTTTGGGGGTGGTGCCACTGTATATGTGTGGAGGTCAGAAAACAACTTGTGGGAATTGTTTTAGGTATTATGTCGGTCCTGGGGATTGAACTTGAGTTGTCAGGCTTGGCAAGCACCTTTCCTTTATGTTTTTGGGAAAGGGTTTTACTATGTAGCCTTTGCTAGCTTGCTGTGTAGACCAGGCTTGCCTCAAATTTACAGAGCTCTGCCTGCCTGTGTACTAGGCTTAAAGGCATACACCACCATATCCAGCCCAAGTTTGTATTTTTGAGGTGGTGTCTCATACTATATTCCAGGTTGTTCTGGAATTCACTCTGTAGCCCAGGCTGGCCTTAATCCCCGTAGTCCTGCCTCACTCAGTTCTGGATGCTGAGGTTATAGGCAGAGTCACCACATTCGGCTCTTTGTTACTCTTAGAGGGATTTTGCTGTGGCATATGATGGGTTTTTTTTTTTTGGTTTTTCGAGACAGGGTTTCTCTGTGGCTTTGGAGCCTATCCTGGCACTCGCTCTGGAGACCAGGCTGGCCTCGAACCCACAGAGATCCGCCTGCCTCTGCCTCCCGAGTGCTGGGATTAAAGGTGTGCGCCACCAACGCCCGGCAGCATATGATGTTAACCTTAGGCTTTCATTATGTTGAGGTAGTTCTTGTCTATTTCTACTTTGTCAGGTGCTTTTATGGAGTGGTATTAAGTTTTGCTATATGTTTTTCTATATCAGTTTAGATGATAACTTATTTTTCTCCCTTGTGTTTTGTTAATGTGATTTTGCTATGTAGAATAATCCTCAGACCCTGTAATAGAGACAGTATGGTTAATGGTTTTTTTTTTTTCTTTTTGGTTTTTCGAGACTAGGTTTCTTTTTATTGCTTTGGAGGCTGTCCTGGAACTTACTCTGTAGACCAGGCTGGCCTGGAACTCACAGAGATTCACCTGCCTCTGCTTCCCGAGTGCTGGGATTAAAGATATGTGCCACCAATCCCTGGCAAGATTAATGTGTTGTTGAACTTGTATAGATAGGATAGTACATTTTTAGTGAGCTGATGTGGAGAATGGGGAAGTGACTACCAGCCAGTCGTGAGTTTCTGTAGGTGTACAGAAAAAGGATTCTCTGTTTTTGAGTTGTGCTGAAATCTTTGTGTATATAGCATGCATGTTGGGCTTTTTGTTGAAGTTTTGTTTTCCTCCTCCCCCTTTCCTCCAAGGCCATGGAGCCTTCTGACTTGTAGGCTGCAAGTCTTTGTTTAGCTGGCACATGGTTGCCCAAGAAAAAAGAAAATGCTGCATGTGTAGCTTACTCTTTTGTAACAAGAATAACAGTTGGCATTTGGGAACTGTGTTGATTTGCCAGGTTCTGTTAAGGAGGACACTTTGCTGTTACTGTTTCCTTCTGTAGTGGAGGAAGTGAAGGTAGAGACTTCGATAACTTCCTCAGGGTCTTCTGGCTACCCAAGCCCAGAGCCCTTCCTCATAACTGAGTCACAATTTCTCAGCTCTGTATTTGCTAGTCTACAAGAACCACAGGCACCAAGAGGAGACATGACACCCACCTGATGCTAATGTTTGCACCTATTGACCAGAATGTTCCCAGGCATCCCTTGTTTGCAGGTTTACCATGGTTACAAGTTCACTTCTCTAGTTCTCCATAGGCGTTGTTATGCATTAGCTTTTCCACTGACTGAATAGCATTGCATTCTGACTAATTCTGGTTTTGTTCATCAGTATTGTTATAGCATTCCAGTAATCAGTGATTTCTAGGGTCCTTTCCAACTCTCTGTAGCTCTGAATTCTTTGACTCTTGTTTTTGTTACTGTTACGTTGCAATTTTGAATGCTGATTCTTCTGTCATGTAATAATAACTACCACTGCCAGTTGGCATTGTGCCATTTAATATTTCTTAATTGTTAAAAACTGAATGGGCAGG